AATGGAAGAAAGAAAGAAAGAAAGAAAGAAATAAAGAAAGGAAGAAAGAAAGAAAGAAAGGAAGATAGAAAGAAAGAAAGAAAGAAAGAAAGAAAGAAAGGAAGAAAGAAATACAGAAAGGAAGATAGAAAGAAAGAAAGAAAGGAAGAAAGAAAGGAAGGCAGTAGGAAAGAAAGAAAGAAAGAAAGACAGAATGGAAGAAAGAAAGAAAGAAAGAAAGGAAAAAAGAAAGAAAGAAAGAAAGGAAGAAAGAAAGGAAGATAGAAAGAAAGATAGAAAGGAAGATAGAAAGAAAGGAAGAAAGAAAGAAAGAAAGAAAGAAAGAAAGAATGAAAGGAAGGCAGTAAGAAAGAAAGAAAGAAAGAAAGAAAGGAAAAAAAGAAAGAAAGGAAGAAATAAAGAAAGGAAGATAGAAAGAAAGATAGAAAGGAAGAAAGAAAGAAAGGAAGAAAGAAATACAGAAAGAAAGAAAGAAAGAAAGAAAGAAAGAAAGAAAGGAAGGCAGTAAGAAAGAAATAAAGAAAGAAAGAAAGAAAGAAAGAAAGAAAGAAAGAAAGAAAGAAAGGAAGGCAGTAAGAAAGAAAGAAAGACTGAATGGAAGAAAGAAAGAAAAAAAGAAAGAAAGAAAGAAAGAAAGAAAGAATGAAAGGAAAAAAGAAAGAAAGAAAGGAAGATAGAAAGAAAGAAAGGAAGAAAGAAAGAAATACAGAAAGAAAGATAGAAAGAAAGAACGGAAGGAAGAAAGAAAGAAGTTAAATCTTAGTGCAAGCTTTTCACTGCCAACAGGATTTCATTTTAAATGAAATTATTTTAAATGTAAATTTTGAAGCTTGGTAGTTAATTAGAAATAGAAACGACTCTTACACGAGTAAGCCTGTTTCAGAAGAATCAATACTCCTTTTGTTTTAGTACTGTTCCTACAACACATGCCTTAAATGCCACTCAATTTAGAAGATTACTGACTGGAGATGTTGTAAGGAAACGAGCAAGGGTTGCATATTATGAGTATACAAAGGCTATATATCTTGACTTGAAAAGTTTAAAATTATAGAGATGATGGGAGCAGCCGTGTGGAGCCCTTTCCACATTTCAAAAGTTCTATAATTCTTGGCTAGTATGTAACTCTAACATTCGAAATTCGCGTTATCAATTTTAGGAAAATTATCACAGAAGGACAAGAAACTAAGTCTTGAAGCGAAAAATAAATAAAAGGTAAGAACAGAAGAAAAATCCAGATAAAAGGAGAATGAATAAAAAATGAATTAAAAGAAGCAGTAATAACTGCAATAAAAAAAGGTGCATTAAAATCAAACAATGCCTTTTCTTCTTTTTGTTCAATTCTACTTTCACTTTCACTTTCATTTTCACTTGAGATGTCATCTATTTTCGTTTTTCTTCTTTATTGCTTCTCTAATCTTCCTTTTTACACTTTTTTGATTCTTGTGTTTCCTTGTTCAATTCCCTCCTCATTTCCGTTTTCATTTTGTCAAGATTTTCTTCATTATTCTGAAAAGAGAGCGAAAAATAACGAACAATGTATGGCTAACAGAAAGAGGAACAGCTCAAGATATGTACTATGAATTAGAGATACCAAAATCAGGCAAATAAAATATATATATATATATATATATATATATATATATATATATATATATATATATATATATATATCTGGGAAATGATCTAACAGAGAATGAAATAAATAGGTGTATTGAATAATGAAGAAACCTTCTAAAACCAAGAAAAAAAGTATTAAAAACCAGGAAATTTTCATTAGAAACTATGAAAAGAGTGCTAAATCATTGTGTAAAATTAATATTCTTCCATGACATTGAATGTTTAGCAATATTCACACAAATGAAAAAGAGAACATGATGCAATACAAATCTGGTTAAACAGAAGTCTACTTAGAATCGTATGATGTAAACATGTGTATAACGACGAAGTTTTAAGAAAAATAGAAACAAAAAAGACACTATCTGTCTATAAATCTGAGATAAGATATCGATTATTTACATTATTTACATTATTCGAACTGTTATCCTCATCTTCATTGCCATAATCACAACGTTTTGGCCGTTGTACTCTCCGGCCTTCTTCAGACGGCGTGTGTCCTCGTCGGTTAGGTCCAGTGATTAGACCCAAATAGTTGTGAGTTCAATACTGGGCTACAGCAATGGTGAATCAAAAAACTTGGAGAATTAAGTTAAAGGGACATAACTGAGACATCCGGAAGAGGCATGGCACGGGGAACTACCCCAGTGGATGAAATAAAGGCCTCGGTTCGAAATTCCAATCGACTGAAGAAAGCCGGAGCATACAATGTTGTGAATATGGGAATGAAGATAAGGATAACTGTCCAGAGAACAGTGGATGAGAGGAATAAAACTTATACAGAATGAATGCTTAGAATACCATGGACTGAACATGTGACCAAGTATTAACCAAAAAGAAATCAAAGGACACTGATGCTTAAAATCAGCAATCGAAATTTCTAAAGAACATCATAAGGAAAGAAAGTTTAGAAAATTTACTTTGGATTAATAGATAGCGGCTCGGATTTAGGATTTGGAGAGCCGAGTTCGAATTCCAGTCAACACAATGTTTCGGCTGTTTTACACTCCGGTCGTCTTTAGGGGCATTCCAGTCAAATCAACGTTTCGGCCGTTGTACACTCCGGCCTTATTCAGGCGCCATGTGTCATCGTTGGTTAGATCTAGTGCTATACGTGGTAATACCCTTAGGAAAGGTATGAATCCTCTTCTCTCCACCCAGCTATGGGTAAATAGCAGGTAAGACCGGGTTCTATAGACTTGGATGGCAACTGGTCCACTGCAAAAAGAAATGGCAACGTACTGCGGGAAAAAAAATCTAACTCGTCAGTTATATATCGAAAGGTACATGATCGCCTACTCGGGTATCACACATGGAACATAACTGACTGAAATTCACTTGGGAAAGGTATGTATCCTCTTCTCCGCCAGCTATAGTTAAATAGCAGGAAAGACCGAGTTCTACAGAGTTGGATGGCAACTGGTCTACAGCTTGAAAATGGCTACCTACTGCATGGAAAATCAGCCTAGTCATTCATGTATCGAAAGATACCCGATCGCCTAAGCGTGTTTCATGTATGGAACATAACTGACTGAAATCCACTTACGTGCTATATACAATTGGGAAAGTTATGAATCCTCGTCTTCTCCCCCAGCTATGGGTAAATAACAGGATAGACCGGGTTCTATAGATTTGGATGGAAACTGGTCTACCGCAGGAAAATAGCAACCTAGTACGGGAAAAATCACCCTCGTCAGTCATGTATCGAAAGATACATGATCGTCTAAGCATGTATCACGCATGGCATATAACTGACTGACCGCTCATAAGATAGGTTGAAGGCAGGAGAGACAAAGCAGTTTAACGAAATTCTGCAAGTGTTTCGCCGGAACACCTATTAGGGGATTTAACAAAAGGGCAAACTCTTCTAAGAGTTACAAGAAGTTGTGGAGAGCCATGATCGCTAGCGTCCTCAAGGGACACGACACTTTGAAAAGGAAGGAGGATTCCCTTCCGTTTTCTTTGCCTCATATTCCGTCAAACTTTTGCCTGTTATATTTATTTGAAGATTCTTTACCTGCTTTTTTTTTTTTTTTTGAATTTTCTTTCAGGTTTTTATTTGTGTCTTCATACTTCTTAATTTCCACATTCATTTTGCTTCTTCTTTTCTTTTTTTTTTAATTCTTTTACTATTTGCTCTTCCACCCCCAGTCACTTCCCTACGATTTATTTCTTCAGAGGTTTTACCCTTCGTTTTAATTTCCTTTTCCATATTCGTCAATTCTGACTTCATTTCCTAACTGTGAGGGAACAACGAACGTGAAGGGCGTCTCAGAAATAAACGCCTAAACACGTCAACATGTTTGTCGCAAAAATCTTTAAATCTTTTTCCCTTTTAAACAACTCCATGCATTTGAGGTCACTATTTACATTTGTGATTTTTTTTTTTTACATGAATTATTTTTCGATGAAATAGTTCACCTTCATTTCGGCTTCACGAAAACGAAACCTTTTGAAATAATGTTGTTCAGGTATTTTTATTCTTTTTTTCTTTTTCTCGATTTATTCATAAACTGGAGAATAATCCGATCCGTCCATTGAGATATGTACTTCGTCGTTTTGTATATTTTTTAAATACTTTTTTTTTCTTTCTTTTCTCTTTTAATTCATCACAACAATATTTCATTTTCATCTTTTAAAGAAAAATAAAAAAAAAGAATATAGTTTGCAGGGCAAGTAAATACATGTATTCCATTTATTTTGCTATCAAAATATTCCTGGTACGAAGTTTACCAAAAATTCACATATCTATCTATCTATCTATCTATCTATCTATCTATCTATCTATCTATCTATCTATCTCTTCCTTCCTTTCTTCCTTCCTTCCTTTGTCTACTCAAGTCTGTTTATATCTAGCTATCTAGTTCATTCAGCTCATTATCTATCTATCTATCTATCTATCTATCTATCTATCTATGTCTTCCTCCCATCCTGCATGTTCCCTTCTTTCCTTCCTTCCTTTCTTCATTCATTCATTCGTTCATTCAAGCATTTATTCATTTTTCTCATACTTTTAATATCTATCAATCTATCTGTTAGTCTGTTCATATATATCTATCAATCTGTTCATCTCTATCTATCTCAGTCTGTTCATATCTATCTATCTATCTATCTATCTATCTATCTCAATCTGTTCATCTCTTTATCTATCTGTCTGTCAGTCTATTTATATCTATCTATCTATCTATCTATCTATCTATCTATCTATCTATGTCTTCCTTCCATCCTGCCTTTTTCCTTCGTTCCTTCCTTCCTTTCTTCATTCATTCATTCGTTCATTCATGCATTCATTCATTTTTCTCATACTTTTAATATCTATCTATCTATCTATCTATCTATCTATCTATCTATCTATCTATCAAATTCTGCTCATATTTATCTATTAAAAAAAAAGAAGTTCCAGGGATGCCTCCATCAATGGCAATGTCGCTGGATAATATATTTGGCTTCAGAAAAGAACTTTAATGATTCGATAGCTTTTGTACTATTCTTTTTAAAGCAATAGTCCCTATACCTTTTCATCAGGCCTTGTATATTCAATTTCATTATGCTATGGAAAACGTGCTAGATGATGTTTCATTGATTTGAACCTTTTAAAACCCTTTATTCTACATTCAACACTATCACTTGATAAGACACCAAAAGTGTTGAAACAGAATGACTATTTATAACATATTTATGCAATAATTTTCGAATAAATTATCATATATATATATATATATATATATATATATATATATATATATATATAGTCTTAATATTTTCTATATTTATGGAATAAATGAAACAAATACATTTATACAGCTATATATATGTATATATATATATATATATATATATATATATATATATGAATAAAGGAAAAGACAAACTTATATATATATGTGTGTGTGTGTGTGTGAACAAATATATGCATACACACATATAAACAGATATATGAATACCAACAATATAAACAAATATATGTATACAAACACATATAAATAAGTATACACCCATATATATATATATATATATATATATATATATGAATAAAGAAAAGACAATCAATATATATATATATATGTGTGTGTGTGTGTGTTTTGTGTGTCTTTGTATATATATATATGTGTATATATACATATCTGTATGTATATATGTGAACAAAAAATGTGATTGTATACATATATTTGTTCATATATGTATACAATCACATACAAAGAAATATATGTATGCACCCATATATATATATATATATATATATATATATATATATATATATATATAGTCTTAAGATTTTCTATATTTATGGAATAAAGTGCTCAATATCAGAGATAGAGCGTGTCTAAATATAAAAGTGAACATAGAAATCTACCTTAGATGAGGCAGTCTGTTTCATGCTAGACGCAATCGTCAGGCCATAGAAATCAATTTTAGATCAGACAGTCTGTTTCATGCTAGACGCAATCGTCAGGCCATAGAACTCAACCTTAGAAGAGGCAGTCTGTTTCATGCTAGACGCAATCGTCAGGCCATAGAAATCAATTTTAGATCAGACAGTCTGTTTCATGCTAGACGCAATCGTCAGGCCATAGAACTCAACCTTAGAGGAGACAGTCTGTTTCATGCTAGACGCAATCGTCAGGCCATAGAACTCAACCTTAGAGGAGACAGTCTGTTTCATGCTAGACGCAATCGTCAGGCCATATAAATCAACCTTAGAGGAGACAGTCTGTTTCATGCTAGACGCAATCGTCAGGGCCATATAAATCAACCTTAGAGGAGACAGTCTGTTTCATGCTAGACGCAATCGTCAGGCCATAGAACTCAACCTTAGAGGAGACAGTCTGTTTCATGCTAGACGCAATCGTCAGGCCATATAAATCAACCTTAGAGGAGACAGTCTGTTTCATGCTAGACGCAATCGTCAGGCCATATAAATCAACCTTAGAGGAGACAGTCTGTTTCATGCTAGACGCAATCGTCAGGCCATAGAACTCAACCTTAGAGGAGACAGTCTGTTTCATGCTAGACGCAATCGTCAGGCCATAGAACTCAACCTTAGAGGAGACAGTCTGTTTCATGCTAGACGCAATCGTCAGCCATATAAATCAACCTTAGAGGAGACAGTCTGTTTCATGCTAGACGCAATCGTCAGGCCATAGAACTCAACCTTAGAGGAGACAGTCTGTTTCATGCTAGACGCAATCGTCAGGCCATATAAATCAACCTTAGAGGAGACAGTCTGTTTCATGCTAGACGCAATCGTCAGGCCATATAAATCAACCTTAGAGGAGACAGTCTGTTTCATGCTAGACGCAATCGTCAGGCCATAGAACTCAACCTTAGAGGAGACAGTCTGTTTCATGCTAGACGCAATCGTCAGGCCATAGAACTCAACCTTAGAGGAGACAGTCTGTTTCATGCTAGACGCAATCGTCAGGCCATATAAATCAACCTTAGAGGAGACAGTCTGTTTCATGCTAGACGCAATCGTCAGGCCATATAAATCAACCTTAGAGGAGACAGTCTGTTTCATGCTAGACGCAATCGTCAGGCCATAGAACTCAACCTTAGAGGAGACAGTCTGTTTCATGCTAGACGCAATCGTCAGGCCATATAAATCAACCTTAGAGGAGACAGTCTGTTTCATGCTAGACGCAATCGTCAGGCCATATAAATCAACCTTAGAGGAGACAGTCTGTTTCATGCTAGACGCAATCGTCAGGCCATAGAACTCAACCTTAGAGGAGACAGTCTGTTTCATGCTAGACGCAATCGTCAGGCCATAGAACTCAACCTTAGAGGAGACAGTCTGTTTCATGCTAGACGCAATCGTCAGGCCATATAAATCAACCTTAGAGGAGACAGTCTGTTTCATGCTAGACGCAATCGTCAGGCCATAGAAATCAACCTTAGAGGAGACAGTCTGTTTCATGCTAGACGCAATCGTCAGGCCATAGAAATCAACCTTAGATGAGGCAGTCTGTTTCATGCTAGACGCAATCGTCAGTCCATAGAAATCAACCTTAGAGGAGACAGTCTGTTTCATGCTAGACGCAATCGTCAGTCCATAGAAATCAACCTTAGAGGAGACAGTCTGTTTCATGCTAGACGCAATCGTCAGTCCATAGAAATCAACCTTAGAGGAGACAGTCTGTTTCATGCTAGACGCAATCGTCAGGCCATAGAACTCAACCTTAGAGGAGACAGTCTGTTTCATGCTAGACGCAATCGTCAGGCCATATAAATCAACCTTAGAGGAGACAGTCTGTTTCATGCTAGACGCAATCGTCAGGCCATAGAAATCAACCTTAGATGAGGCAGTCTGTTTCATGCTAGACGCAATCGTCAGTCCATAGAAATCAACCTTAGAGGAGACAGTCTGTTTCATGCTAGACGCAATCGTCAGGCCATAGAAATCAACCTTAGAGGAGACAGTCTGTTTCATGCTAGACGCAATCGTCAGGCCATAGAAATCAACCTTAGAGGAGACAATCTGTTTCATGCTAGACGCAATCGTCAGGCCATAGAAATCAACCTTAGAGGAGACAGTCTGTTTCATGCTAGACGCAATCGTCAGGCCATAGAAATCAACCTTAGATGAGGCAGTCTGTTTCATGCTAGACGCAATCGTCAGTCCATAGAAATCAACCTTAGAGGAGACAGTCTGTTTCATGCTAGACGCAATCGTCAGTCCATAGAAATCAACCTTAGAGGAGACAGTCTGTTTCATGCTAGACGCAATCGTCAGTCCATAGAAATCAACCTTAGAGGAGACAGTCTGTTTCATGCTAGACGCAATCGTCAGGCCATAGAACTCAACCTTAGAGGAGACAGTCTGTTTCATGCTAGACGCAATCGTCAGGCCATATAAATCAACCTTAGAGGAGACAGTCTGTTTCATGCTAGACGCAATCGTCAGGCCATAGAAATCAACCTTAGATGAGGCAGTCTGTTTCATGCTAGACGCAATCGTCAGTCCATAGAAATCAACCTTAGAGGAGACAGTCTGTTTCATGCTAGACGCAATCGTCAGGCCATAGAAATCAACCTTAGAGGAGACAGTCTGTTTCATGCTAGACGCAATCGTCAGGCCATAGAACTCAACCTTAGAGGAGACAGTCTGTTTCATGCTAGACGCAATCGTCAGGCCATAGAAATCAACCTTAGAGGAGACAGTCTGTTTCATGCTAGACGCAATCGTCAGGCCATAGAACTCAACCTTAGAGGAGACAGTCTGTTTCATGCTAGACGCAATCGTCAGGCCATAGAAATCAACCTTAGAGGAGACAGTCTGTTTCATGCTAGACGCAATCGTCAGGCCATAGAACTCAACCTTAGAGGAGACAGTCTGTTTCATGCTAGACGCAATCGTCAGGCCATAGAAATCAACCTTAGAGGAGACAATCTGTTTCATGCTAGACGCAATCGTCAGGCCATATAAATCAACCTTAGAGGAGACAGTCTGTTTCATGCTAGACGCAATCGTCAGGCCATAGAAATCAACCTTAGAGGAGACAATCTGTTTCATGCTAGACGCAATCGTCAGGCCATATAAATCAACCTTAGAGGAGAGACAGTCTGTTTCATGCTAGACGCAATCGTCAGGCCATAGAAATCAACCTTAGAGGAGACAATCTGTTTCATGCTAGACGCAATCGTCAGGCCATAGAAATCAACCTTAGAGGAGACAGTCTGTTTCATGCTAGACGCAATCGTCAGGCCATAGAACTCAACCTTAGAGGAGACAGTCTGTTTCATGCTAGACGCAATCGTCAGGCCATATAAATCAACCTTAGAGGAGACAGTCTGTTTCATGCTAGACGCAATCGTCAGGCCATAGAAATCAACCTTAGATGAGGCAGTCTGTTTCATGCTAGACGCAATCGTCAGTCCATAGAAATCAACCTTAGAGGAGACAGTCTGTTTCATGCTAGACGCAATCGTCAGGCCATATAAATCAACCTTAGAGGAGACAGTCTGTTTCATGCTAGACGCAATCGTCAGGCCATAGAACTCAACCTTAGAGGAGACAGTCTGTTTCATGCTAGACGCAATCGTCAGGCCATAGAAATCAACCTTAGAGGAGACAGTCTGTTTCATGCTAGACGCAATCGTCAGGCCATAGAACTCAACCTTAGAGGAGACAGTCTGTTTCATGCTAGACGCAATCGTCAGGCCATAGAAATCAACCTTAGAGGAGACAATCTGTTTCATGCTAGACGCAATCGTCAGGCCATATAAATCAACCTTAGAGGAGACAGTCTGTTTCATGCTAGACGCAATCGTCAGGCCATAGAACTCAACCTTAGAGGAGACAGTCTGTTTCATGCTAGACGCAATCGTCAGGCCATAGAAATCAACCTTAGAGGAGACAGTCTGTTTCATGCTAGACGCAATCGTC